GGGAAGGGGGGAGGGATTGCATTGGGAGTTATACCTGATGTAAATGACGAGTTGATGGGTGCAGCACACCAACATGGCACAAGTGTACATATGTAACAAACCTGCATGTTATGCACATGTACCCTACAACTTAAAGTATAATAATAATAAATAAAGTTAAAAAAAAAAAAAAATATGTGGTCCCTGGGTCAGGAGCATCAATATATCCTGGGAACTTGTTACAAATGAAAATTCTTGGGCTTCACCCAAGACCTACTGAATCTGAAATTCTGTATTTTAACAAGACCTTCTTGTGATTCTGATATAGGCTAATGTTTAAGAACTACTGATCTACAGATTCAGTGCAATTCCAATATAATTAAGTAACTCACTTCCTTTTGCTGAGTAAGTAAAGCATGATTTTAGCAAGTCTTTCTAAAAAAGGACTGGATATAAAAGTACTTGCTGCTTAATTCATAATTGAAAAATGAAACAATAAAATAATCTAACTTTCTGAGAATTCTAGCTACATTTACTATAAAATTGTATCAGAATTTCTAAAGTAATTATGTTATAAGGAGATTTTTATAATATTTGTGTGGCTGCTTTTGAAATACAGAAGAGACAGAATAATATTACTTGCATGTCATAATACTTACAGTATTAAGTAAGGTATCATACACAGCATTCACAAATTTAGCATTAATCCCAGAGTCTTCAATGGTGTTAAATGAGGCAGTGGCATCTTTCTGCAAATTCAATTTAAGAATTAAGTATATTCAACATTTTGAAGACTATTCTTAGTAAAATTTGAATCATACTATTCCTTCATAATTTTGACTATTTTTTAGTCTGACAATAAAAAAGAACTTTAAGGCAAAATTTCTGAAAATAAAAAGAAATGTACAAAGATTATTTTAATAACTTTCTTTTTTAAAACTGAAGGTATGGAGTTAAACATGAACATTAGAGCAAGTAAAAACAATATTTAAGGGCTGGGCACAGTGGCTTATATCTGTAATCCCAGTGTTTTGGGAGGCTGACATGGGAAGGGTCACCTGAGGTCAGGAGTTCAAGACCAGCCTGGCCAACATGGTGAAACCCCGTTTCTACTAAAAATACAAAAATTAGCCAGGTGTGGCGGCAGGCACCTGTAATCCCAGCTACTCAGGAGGCTAAGGCACAAGAATTGCGTGAACCCAGGAGGCGGAGGTTGCAGTGAGCTGAGATTGCACCACTGCATTCCAGCCTGGGCAACAGGGTGAGACTCCATCTCAAAACAAAACAAAACAACCTCCCCCTCAAAAAAAAAACCCGTATACTTATATAGTATGTGTAATATTACATAATTGTATGTACTGTATAATTTCTGAAATCAATACATATATACGCATGTTTAAATCAATATTGGGTATAAATGAGGTAAATTTATCATTTCTGGAAAATTTAAAACTAAAAGTTAAATGAAAAATGTGTTTTATGTATAATTACCTTAAATGCAGCATTTAATTCTGGGAAAGAATCAAATGTTGTTAGATAAAAATCATGTACTGCTTTCCAATCTCCTGATGACTTAACTTTTTCTACATCTTCCCTAAAATGAAAACATACATTAACCATATATATATAGAAATATTATTCAGATAAACTAGCACTACTTTTTAAATAAATGTCACCAAGTATGCAATACGAAATACTGAAACCAAATAAAGAAATATGTCCCAGTTAATATAGTTTATGGATTTATAATTCTTAATTGGATTAAGATATTAATCCAGCTTTAACTTTCCCATTTACTTATTTTTAAAAAAGATCATTCTTAACATGTCTCTTTCAATTATCACTCTTTCCTTCCCTTCATAGCTAAACTTCTGGAGACTTTGTTTACATTCTGTCTTTATCGTTCCCATTTAGTCCTTCAAATATGCATCTGGAGATTTTGAATGGTGACATAACTTTTATAGTATGTGTCACATCATAAATGAACTCTTATTTTTAAAAATGGTAACAGTCTATTATTTAATTACCACCTTTATCTCTTTTTGTTTTGACTCATAGACTCTTACTTAGCATTTCCTTTATTTTGCTACAGCCTATCTAACTCTTACCTGTTATTCATACATTTGTTTTCTTTCACCTTCAACTTGAGACATAAAGTCTTTTGAGGTCCTCTTGGCTAACACCTTATAATGATCCAAAAGTTAAATTAATTTCTCAAATAAATATATTAAATTATGTAAAGTGCTGACATGCAGATGATTATATATTTACATAAAATAGTGAGTGAAACTTACTGAAAGTCTTTCATAGTTTTGGGCTGGATAGGAAGAATAGGTTCTGGAAGGACTGGGGCCTTCATTTCGGATGATGATGCATCCATAGATACACGCTGTTTTTGTCTAACATCAAGGCAAATTGGTGGTTGGTCTCTCACTGTGAAGTATAAAAACACATTCAAAATAATGAATCATTAAACTTTTCCAAATTATAAAATACAAGATTAATTCAACCTCAACAGAAAATAAATGAATTATTTTGTATTACATTCACTTTGAGATTAAAGAAAAATCAACCATAGTGAAGGACATTTACTGGAGGGCTTATTCCCCCACTCCCCCACTCCCCCACTTCACTCACAACACATATTAGGCTGTATCTTACACTGATGTGTATACTTAATATAGAGCTTCTTCCCTTTTTCCCTTCCCCCTCAAAATTGTCTGTTAATGTAATTTAGCATTTCTTTCCTCTCCCCTCTTCCCAAAAGTCATCTTTCAGGGAATATTTCAATGTATGATTATTGTAGCTATATAATAAAAATCAGGTAGACTGATTCTTTCAACTTTATACTTCTTTTAAAAAACAGTTTTACCCATTCCAGTTCTTCTGCCATTTCAGGTAAATTTGAAAATAATCTTATCCATATCAACAACAACGAACTTACGGGAATTTTGACAGGAAATGCATGAAATTCCTTTTTGTATCAATTTGGGGAGAACTTGTGTATCAATTTGGGGAAAACTGGCATCTTTACTAGAATAAGCGTTCTAATCCATGAACACAGTATGCCTTTACACTTACTCAGATCTTAATTTCTTTCACCAGCATGATATAATTCTAAGCATACATATTCTGTAATGTTTGCTAGATTTAAACCTTTTATTCTTTTTTAAGTGATTACAAATGGTATGTATTTTTACATTAGTGTCCATGTGTTCATTGTTAGCATAAAGAAATATAACTGACTTCTGTATGTTTATCTTGTATTCTTCAACCTTACTGAATTCACTTATCAATTCTAGGAAGGTTTATTTTTGAGATTTCATGGTGTTTTTTTGTTTGTTTTTTTGTTTGTTTGTTTTTTGTTTTGCATAGACAATCATGCCATCTGCAAATAGGGACAGTCTTATTCCTTATTTTCTAATCTGTATGTCTTTTTTCTTCTTTTTGCCTTCTTGTATCAGCTAAAATTTGCAGCACTGAGAAGAATGAGTTAGAGCAAACATCCTTGCATTATTCTCACTCTTAAAAGGGAAAGCACTAAATATTTAGCCATTAAGAAAAAGGGTAAGCTTTACCAATAAAAGGGTACTCCCTCTGATTCTTAGCATGTTGAATAAGAGTGCTAAGAGCAGACATCCTTGCCTTGTTCCCACACTTAAGGTAAAAGCACTCAGTCTTTCACAATTACATAAAACGTTAATTGCAGGTTTTCTCTAGATGCTGTTTATCAAGTAAAGGAAAAAGTCTCTTTCCTATTTTTCTGGGAGTTTTAATTTTTTTCATTATGAATAGGTGTTGGATTTTGTCAAGTTATTTTACTGCATGGAATCATTCTTAAGCATGTTAGTATGGCGGATTACATTAATTGATATTTTAAAAACTGAACCATCTAGCATCCCTGGAGTGACCTTTTGGTAATGGTGTATAACTCTTTTTATATATTGCTGAATTTTATTTGCTAATACTTTATTAAGGACTTCTGCCATCTATATTCATGAAGGATATTGGTCTATAGTCTATAAATTTTTTTTTTTAACTATCGTCATCTGGTTTTGTTATCAATGTAATACCAGCTGTGTAAAATGAAAAATAAATGTTCCCTTTTCATCTGTTTTCTGGTAGAGATTGTACAGAAATGGTGTTAATTCTTTAAACATTTGCCAGAATTCTGTGTGACCACCCGGACGTGAATATTCTTTTTTTAAAGTTTTAAAACTAGAAATCAATTTCCTTAGTGGTCATAGAACTATGCAAATTAACTATTTCAAACTGGATGAGCTGCAATAGCTTTTGTTTTTTGAAGAATTGGTCCATTTCATCTGTAATTTATGTGTGTAGAGTTGTTTGTAGTATTCCCTTATTATCTTTTCTGACGTTGATAGGGTCTGTTGTAATATCTGCTATTTCATTTATGATACTGATAATCTACCTTTTTATGTCAGTTTTATTGATCTTATCAAAGAGCCATCTCTTTGTTTCATTTTCTCAATTTTTGTTTTCAGTTTCACTGATTTTATCTTTATATTTCCTCCTTCCTGCTTACTTTGGGCTGATATTCTCTTCTTTTCCTAGGTCCATCAGCTAAAGGCTTAGATATTTGTTTTGAAAATTTCCCCCTTTTCTAATGTATGCATGACTGCTATAAATTTCCCTCTCAGCACTGCTATAGCAGTATCCCACAACTTCTGATATGTTGTATCATATTTTTATTTTCATTCCATCCCATCCATTTTTTAACCTCCCTTAAGACTTCATCTTTGACCAATGAATTATTTGGAAGTTGTTTAATTTCCAAGTATTTTGGAGATGCTTCTGTTATTTTCTGTTACTGATTTCTAATTTGACTAGTCAGAAAACACACTTTACATTATCTCAATTCTTTAAAATTTCAGTTGTTTTATGGCCCAGAATATGATCCATTTTGCTATATGTCCCACTGGCACTTGAAATGCCATGTGTATTCTGTTGTTGGGTAGAGCGTGCTATAAATGTGCTGTTGGTTGATGGTGGCACTGAGTTACTCTATATACTTATTGATTTTCTAGATAGTTCCATCAAATACACACTTACAGTTGGAGCCTTCAATACCTAACTGTGAATTCTTTTGTTTCTGCATTCAGGTCTACCAGTTTCCCCCCGCAGGTTTTTACAGCTCTGCTGTTTGGTGTGTACATACTTGTGATCACTACATATTTTGAGTGATTATCCCTTTTATCATTATATAATGTTCCTCTCTATCTCCATGAATTTTCTTTGTTCTAAGTCCACTTTATCTGATATTAATGCAGTCATTTCTGTTTCCTTCAATCGATGTTTGCATAAAATGTCTTCCTCTATCCATTTACTTAAAACTTGCTTATACTGTTATATTTGAAGCGAATTTCTTATAAATAGAATACAGTTGGGTCATGTTTTTTGTTCACTCTGACAATATCTTTTATTTAGACTATTTACATTTAATGTAATTTTTAATAAGGTAGAGCTTAAGTCTATGATTTTATTTTCTATTTGTTCTCTCTGCTTATTTGTTACTTTTCCTGCCTTTCTGCAGGTTAAACATTTTTTAGAATTCTCTTTTGATTTATATATAGTGTTTCTGAGAAGTTTCTCTAGATATTACATTACATATAATAATTTCTCACATGCTACTCACATCGTCATTTTACCAGTTGGAATGAAGTGCAGAAATCCTACCTCCTTTACCTTCCCCTGTTTATAATTTTCTTTTTGTGTGTGTGACAGGGTCTTGCTCTTTCACTCAGGATGGGGTGTGGTGGTGTGACCATGGCTAACTGCAGCCTCAAACACCTGGGCTCAAGTGATTTTCCTATGTCAGCCTCCTGAGTAGCTAGGACTACAGGCATGCACCAAAAGCCTGACTAATTTTTAAAATTTTTATGGAGACAAAGTCTCACTATGTTCCTCAAGCTGGTCTCAAACTCTTGGCCTCAAGCCATCCTCCTGTCTTGGCCTCCCAAAACACTGGAGTTACAGGTGTGAGTCACTGAACTCAGCCATAATTTTCTTTTTTCCTTTACATACATTTAGAACCACACCCGTGTTACAATTTTTGTTTCAACTACCAATTATAATTTAGAAAACATAAGAGGAGAAGTCTACTGTATTTATCCATACTTTTGTTTATCACCTTCTTTCCCCTTTCCTCACATCTCAAGTTTCCTTCTTTTGTTTCCTTTCTGTTTAGAGAACTCCTTTATTCTTTTAGAGTAAATGTAGTGGCAACAAATTCTTAGTTTTTCTTCATCTGAAAATGTCTTGATTTCCCTTCCTTGCATTCCTGAAAAATATTTTCATCAAGTGTAGCATTCTACAGTGACAGTCCTTTTAGCATTTGAAAAATTTAGTGGCATATCCTTCTGGCGGCCTCCATGGTTACTGATGATAAATCTGTTATTTCAATGCCTTATTTTTTTTTTTTTTTTAGGGACTGCAACAGGTGATTGGTGAGGGCCTTCTTGCTAACAGGGACTCTGCAGAATCCTAAGGGGGTGCAGGGCATCACATGGTGAGGGGGCTGAGTATGCTAGCTCGAATATCTAATCCTCTTCTTATAAAGCCACCAGTCCTATTCCCATGATAACCCATGAATCCATTAACCCATGAATGGATTAATCTATTCATAAGAGCAGAGCCCTCATGACCCAATTACCACTTAAAGGTCTCGCCTCTCAATACAGCTACACTGGGGATTATATTTCAACATGAATTTTGGTGGAAACAAATACTCAAACTACAGCATCTTCCTTAACGTGTCATTTTTTCCTGGCTGCTTTCAAGATCTTTTTGTTGGTATTCAGTTTTGACAGGTTTAATTATGATGCTTCTTGCTGTGGATTTCTTTGGATTTCTTCTGAATGAGGTTTGTTTAGCTTCTTGAATCTGCAGGTTTATGTCTTTCACCAAATGTAGAAAATTTTCAGTCATGACTTGGTTACTTTTTCAGCCCTACTGTCTTTTCCTCTCCTTCTGGGACGCTGATAATAGGATTGTTAACACCTTTTGTTATAGTATCTGGGGTCCCTGAGACTGTTGATTTTTCAGTCTATTTTCTATTGTTAAGACTAGATAATTTCTATTGTTCTGTCTTCCAGTTCATTGATTCCTGTCCCCTTCATTCTGTTGTTGAGCCCATCTACAAAGCTTTTTACTGTGATTGTTGTATTTTCTCAAGTATTAAGACTTCTAAAACAATAGAATGATTAATATCTTATAAATTTTAAGGTCTACAATAATGAAATATACACATATAATTTAATTCTACTGTAATGTAATCGGGATATATTTTCAACTATGCAAACACAGGGATATCAATAGTCACAAAAGTAACATAGCTAATAAGGTCTTCCTTCCTTCTTTACCTACCCTCCTATCCAAGCATCTATCCTTGGCTCTACCATCAACTTCAACAA